GTTTTCCATACCACCTAAATGAACCACAAGCTTCTGTGGGTTGTTTCCCCACCCCCACTCCCCCCCCCAAAAAAATAAATTTCTTGTTCATTGATTTTTAACTCCAGAAAGCACTACTTGTGATCATGCAGTTGACCTTTTGACCTTGTATCAAACATAAGCCTCAGCTCATTCCATTTTCAACAGCAGCATTCAAATTTAACTTCAAATGCTGGAGCCCTTGTTTATGTTATTCAGTAGCTAATAATTAGCTGGTAACCTTTATGATTCCAAAACTAAGCTTGCACTTACGCTGGATTCGTCTAGCTTCAACTTCTGGTCAGTGGATTGTATCTCTGTCCTACAGCAAATTGCCTTCACCTATGGAAGTTCCATTCCCCAGAGAAGCAGGCATGATTTGTTCAAAGAAAACCATTGGCTTTAAATATCCTTCATGCAGATACCAGGTCTACACGTGATGGTCCTGCAGCAGGGGCACTGCGTAACATCAGCACTTCGACAGTAAACTAAAAAGCAGTCAGATTAGATAGGGCTTCTCTAAGGATTCAGAACAAGCAGACATCGCAGGAGCACACTAAAATGAGAAGTTGCATGAATGCATACAACATAAAGCAGAAAGGAGAAGGAATTTAAACCGGGTCTCATTCAGTGGTGTCGATGACAAATTGGATGTTCAACAATAACGGCGTTATAGTGGAGGGATCCATTATACAAGTTTTAAAGCCAGCCTAATTTAGACCTGAATGCTGAAATGGGCGAGATCACGAAAATTGCCAAAAGCCTACAGAGCAGGTATTGACAACTACCTGAAGGGCTTTTCAGTGGGAGAACTGCTGTCAAAGCGAGGCAAAATAACTGACTACCAGGCAGCACCAAGCAGAAAAGGCACTGTCTGGCAACTTCTTGTTCAGTGGAAGTGTTTTAGAGGCTGGTGATGAGTAAGTGTAAGTATACTGTCTGATGCGTCATACAGGAACACGAAAGCAAACAGCATCCTGACAGAACATGGTTAATTGATTGAGAAGCTCAACAAAGTTCTCATTAAGTCTTGCCACTGTTTGGGATGGCCTAGGCATCCTTTCACAGCAAGCAGAGCTCTGGCTGCAGGCCAGGTACGGACACTCATGTAATCCCAGCCTAAGCTCTGGAAGCGATGCTGATACCGAAGGTAGTGGCCCATGCACCACTGGCTAGCCTGTACTACCCCAGCCTGGGGCTCCTTGTACCTGTTCCCCGTAGGCAAAAGCTAGGAAGAACCTTTCTACACTGAAGCTGCCTCATCATCCTGCAGGGAGGCTGCCTAGAGCACAGATTTTGGGGCAGGTAATGATTCACCATAGCAAGAAAAGAAAAGGCTCATCTCCCTTTCTGCCCTCACTTTGCACTCAGGAGAGATCTCTCCATCAGCCCTCCAGGCCTCTAGGCAGGGAGAGCTTCCCGCCTCTTTCGCTAGGCTTTTCTCCCAGCCGTGAGCTTACACGGCACACGCAAGACTGCGCCACACGCCAGGGTCAGCGCAAGGTGAGAGGCGGGAGGGTGAAGGCAGGAGGGGAGCCCTCCCTCCCCTTTGGGTAGCCTTCCGCTTGGCACAGCTCCCGGCACTGCAGCCGTACCCTGGGCAAAACCATAGCAGTTTCACCCAAAGCAGGATTTTGCCCTTCACTTTTTTTTTTTTTTTTTAAATTTCTTGATGTGTGTCACATCTTCCAGTGATTCAAATCCAGCAGGGAAAAATCACCTAGAGCAGTGCTGTGCCCATTTACCAATTAGAGTTGTTTTAATTTGCATGAGTGACATTATGCAGCCTTTACAGCTTTTTCTGTGTCCTCTGCCAGACACAGAGCCAACATGGAAATGTAAGACCCTTCTGTTTCCAATTTGGACCCAGTCAGATTTTATCAAGACAGTGAGCAATCTTGCGTAGGCCCATTGATTTTATGTTCTACCCTCATTTTGCACTGAGGCCATCTTCCAGGATTCTAAGAGGATGCCCTTGGAGCAGAAGCCTTCACCTCCCCAGGTCGTACAGCACCAACTTCCTTCGGTTTAAGAAAAACGACCAACCTTTTTTCTGCCTGACCTTGAGACTACCTGATGTTACATTTCTAACTACATACACTAGCACTGGGAGGATTATCTCTTTAATCATATAACTACGCAACAGGCAAAGGAGGTTTTCTTACATAAAAATTATTAACATGCGGTTCCTTTCTTGCACACGTACCCTTCTGAACCCATTTAATGAAATGCTAGACAAACAGGGGTTTCAGAAGTGGCCAAACCAGAAGGTGGCTGTGCAAACTGAACAGAAGAATGGAGATTATAATAAAGATGGCAAGAAAACACCATGAAGAGGCACCGCTTTCTGAGGATCCGTACCAGGACTCTTGTTTCTTTTTTTTTT